CACAAGGAGTTATGCGAAAGAGATTCATATATATATATATACCACCAGTTACAAAGCATGGTTTTGGTCTGAAATACGTGCAGCTGGGAGAGTAGTTTATAGAGGGTGAGCAGTAGCAAAGTAACAGAAAAAGTCAGGTATAATGGTTGAAGGCACCAAATGCCCTTGAACTAGGTGTTTAAAATCTACAAAATGTAGATTCTGCACTTCAAGGTGTAAAGTTTGCTGATAATCTGTAATTCTACTAAAAAATTAGGCACACAGTACATCTTTTGGTTCAAAAGGAAATGGATATTTATAAATAAATGGTCTTATTTACTATGGAGAAATAAATAATCCCTCCCAATAAGTCTGGAGGAGTCGGTTAGTACAGTATATTACTTTATATGAAACTAGAATCCAACCTGTAGCTATAGTAATAAAAAATTAGAGTTAACTATTTTAGTTAGGATTACATATTACACATTAGGTTGTCTGTTTGGTGAGAAAGAGAGACCCAGAGACTTCGTATTCATATTATCAACAATTGGGATATTAACTGAAGTTGGCAAAGCCTTTTATCAGATTTCATTGGTACAGGAAGTTCTACTTCAGGCAATACAGATCTTGGGGGATAAAGTGAGACAGATCTGTATAGCTCAGGAGTACAGTGTTTCCTAGCATGTTATGTTTTGTGTTTAATTCCCAATTCTGTTTAAAAAATAATAGGGGCTGAAAATTATAGATTTAATCAACTCAAACGGTCTATAATTTTTCTTTTGTAAATGCTTTCTTTGGACATATAGCCTTGCTATGTTGCCCAAGCTGTCCTTGAACTCAAGAAGTCCTCTTTTTTTCAATACTTTATTTTTATTAGTACAGGTTTGCAGTAAATAATTACATTCACTATGGAGAATTGGTAAACACACATAATTGATCTTATTTCTTTTTAATTCCCTTTTACCCCTCCATCTCTTGGTCCCTTCACCATCTGCAAAAGATATGTCTTCTGATTTCCTATTACCTTCTTTTTTTACTTTGCTCTGTATTTGTACTCTAGACTTCTTATATCAGAGAGAACATGCAATATTGAAGCTTGTATGTCAGATTTATTTCATTTAATGTTATTGTTGCAAAGTGCAACCATTTTCCTACAAATGACTCAAATTTATCCTTTTATAACAAAGTAGTACTTCACTGTGTATAAATAACACATTCTCTTTATTGATCCTTCCTGTCCCAGTCTTTTAAGTAGCTGTTACTACAACTGTAACCTATACCATGCCTGGCATCAGGAATTTATTTTTAAATAATTTGTCATTTGAACCCTATTACTTTTAGGGGTTAGGATAGTTGTTGGAAATATAGATGAATAAGAATGTTCTTGTTGTCTAGTGGGAAGACATTAGTGAACTGTTAACTACAATTCAAGGTAATACAAGGAAGTTAGCACTATAATGGGAACATGACTTTAAAACTGTGTAGGCTATATGTTCTGTAAAGGCCTTATTCAGCTTTCTCCAGGTCTGGCTATCAAGGGAGCATCTGCTATTATCTGAACCCCAAATTCTTCGTGTGTGTGTGCATGTACGTGCGTGCATGTATATGTATTTGTGTGTGTGTGTGTGTGTGTGTGTGTGTGTGTGTGTGTGAGACTGTTAATCCAGTATGTCAACTTGACTGGGTTAGGAATTGCCCAGGGGATTGTTAGAACACACTTCTAGGTATATCTGGGTTAGCCATGGAGGTATGACTTTGGATATGATATGTGATGGTTGGCCCATTCCACTTTGGTTCTGTTGCCCTGCTTTGCTTTTCAGCAACCATAAGCTAAGCATCTTTGCTCTTCTACACCCTCCAGCCATGATTAGACCATGAACTGAATCCCCTGGAACTGTAAACCAAGTTAAACTTCTCCTCCTTTAGATTGTGGATGTTAAGTATTATGTCTAAGCAAAAAGAAAGCTAACTAACATACCTGTCTTTCCTAATGTTAATATCAAAACTAAAAAATTAACATTGGTCTTAGATTTCAGTTGTGATCTCCATTCTGTGACAGTTCCTCATTCTTCTCTTATCTTTCAGGACCTTGATATAGTTGACAATATTTGGCCATGTATTTCTCTTATCTTTCAGGACCTTAATATATTTGAAAATGCTTGGTGATATATACTATAGACCATTCCTATTTTTCTCTAGTACACTGCAGGCAAAGATTTGGTGAGGAATGGTACAGGTAAGTGAGGTAACTTTTCCAGCTCATCAGGTTGGATGTATAGGATATTTAACCTTTAGAAGTCACAGCTGATTTCAAGGTCACAAACTCATCTTACCTATTGTTAAGGAATAACACCTGATCCATGACCGCCAAATAATTAATGGCATATCATACTACTGCTGATTATTAACCTTGGTCACTTGTTTAAGGTGATATCTGAGTTTTTCTACAGTACATTTTTGTTTTTTGTTTTATACTTAATAAATACTTTGAGAGAATCTCTGATTCTGTTTTTTTTCAGTTTTGACTGAAAAAAGAATTATCCAGAGCTTTTTGCCCCCTGGAAACAGCTTTACTGATGGCATGTTTCATTTAACAAATGAAACAACAGTGTTACGGGCTAATGGTTGGATCATGTTGTATGGAAAGCATTCTAGTATAACATCTTTGTATCTGTCTCCTATATGAATATTCTAGTAAAGCCCTTAAACTCATTTTTTGCAGGCAAAAAAAAAAAAAAAGGATACAAGAGAAATCAGTGAAAATTATCTACTGATAACTGGGCATTTCCACAAAGTGTGAAATAAACATTGAATGTCTTCCAATTCCTAATCACTGCATTTTAGGGGCCTCTCTAAGAAGGATGCTTACCCCATTTAAGCCAGAAATCTCACTTTTATCTTTTATAAAAATATCCAAAGGAGACCAAGTATGGATTTTTTGTCTACTATGTACCTTCCCTGTGATAGGTAATAAAATTGTTCATGATAAACAGTAAAATAACTACTGAGTTATACTGAGTAAGAATATAAAACTTTGGTTCACAAATCTTGCTAATATTGCCAAATATATTTTTGCTAAATATTCCTAGTTGAAAACAATTTTGGAAGCCTATAGAAGACAGCAGTGGTTATCCCTCGGGAATGGTTTACCTTTTCATTTAGCTTTCTGTACCATTAAGTTTTATTTATTTATAATACATATTTTCAGAGAGTACTTTTGAATTGAAAATAAATCAGACAAAAAAGTTTTAAAAAACCAAACAAACCTTATTTTACATAACAGCTAAGGCCTTGCCATAAAGTGAATTGAAGGGAACACACATTAAATTCAACTCCAAAAAAAAAAAAGGAAAGAAAAGAAAAGGGAAAACCCCAAAGTTCCTGAAAAGTAACCAAAAGGTAATGTTAAAACTGTTCTACAAGAAAAGTTTGAAAAGGGGGATTCTAGCTGCTTAGAGGGGCCCAAGCACGAAAATTAAAGGTTGAGAGTTGGAGATGGAGCTCAGTTAAGGGGTGCCTCTGGGTTAGATCGTGGTACCCCTAAAAGCTGGGAAGGGGGAGTGGCTTTCGGGGATACCAGAGCGCACGGCGTGTTTAATGTTAAGCCACACATATAATCTGAGATTTCCCACCAGAGGAAGTTCACAGTGTGGCCAGGCAAAGTTTAAGAAGACTGATAACTGCCTCATTTAAAATCCTGCCCGAAGTTTTATAATTAGATGGAGGAAGAAGGTAACTTAAAATCACATTTCTGCCAGTGGAAAGTAATAAAAGAATATATGGATAGTAGTGAATGTTAATGAACATTTGAAATACTGTCATCTTTTATATAATTATTTGGTATAAAGTAAACAGGAATACTGTACCTATTCATGAAAAAGTTAAAGGAAAAATTCTTTAGGAAGAGAGGGACAAGATTATGGATTTGGGGGAGCAGGGGAGAAAAGAAAAGAAAAAAAATCCGTGAGGTTTACCCAGACTCCACCTACATGCAAAGATTCCTTGACTTACAACTCCTCTGCAGGAAATGAGCTTTGCCTCCAACACCTGGCCCACCTTCCCCTCCCCACTCAGCGAGAAGAATGAGGGCCTGTGTTCCCTGCCGCACGCCAGGGGAGCTGGTCTGTCCAGAGCTGCACAAGTAACACAGTCCCAGAAAATTAAATGGAAGGTAAACATAGGAACCGGATATAGTGTAAGTAAACAAGTACAGGATACTGGCCTTACTGAACACACACAAAAAGCCAACATGTAACAAACGGTACCCTTAAGGAAGCACAGTCACCGTTTTACAGACATGTTCCTGTTTGGTCTTAATGTAACATTGCCAAAAAATTATCACAAGCATTTATTAGTTTTAACTTCCGCCCTTAATTGAATTGCTGTTTCTATTTAAGTTTCTTTAGTTTTACAAGAGCTGTTATTCTTTGACAATGTTTTTATAAAATAAAAGATGACTGCATTAAGTGGCTCAACAGCAACTAGGATCGCTTTTTGAAAAAAATATTTGTTGCTATGTCCTATGTGGGAGGAAAAATACTTGTATAAAATTATTCAACAATTGAGTGCTTGTTAAAATAATGCTGGTTCCTAAATTTTTTTTTTTTTTTTGCTATTACGCTAATTTTAGGTTCCAAACAGGGTTTGCTCCACAGACACAAAGATGTATAAGATGACTAATTAAAGAAAAAATAATTCTACAGAAGCTCAGAGAAAAAAACTTTTGATGATTCTTGTGCAGTTAGTGCCAGGCTGTCACTTACAGCAGTGATTTTGCTCGTGCCCTTCGCAGGACTCACAGGCAACCCACACTACAAGGCTGCACCTGTCTGCCTTTCTCTCCAGCTCCCCAAGTTTCCTTTTGGGAGTAAAAGGCAGGATGCCTCCGGGAGCGGGCTCCTCCACCGACTTCTCCCGACCGCCCGGAGCCACGTGACAGCCCCTAACACAGGTGCGGCCGCAGAGCCCCCATCCCCTCCGGCCAGGTGCCGCCCGCCCGCCCGGCTGCGCGTCCCCGAGGAAGGAGGTCAGGGTCCCGGTGCCAGCCTCGCTCCGGCCGGCGGGGGAGGGGCCGAGCCCGGGCCACACCGCAGCCTGATTATCACATGACTCCACAGCGGCGGTAGCCGTGGCAGCAGCCGGCGCGGCTCCGCGGGGTGGCGGGGTGGGCTCGGGTCCGCGCGCGCCTCGGCGGAGCGCAGGGGCCGGGAAGGAATCTGCTGCCGCCGCGGCCAGCCCGCTGCTCCGGGGCGCGCGGCGAGCCTCCCGCCGGGCCGCTCGCTCCATGTCGCTCCCTTGCGGAAGTGTCGCGGGGGGAAGCGGCGGAGGCTCCGCGCGCTGGAGGCCGGGGCTCGGCCCCCTGCAGCAGCACTGAGCGCCCGGAGCCGCGCGCCCCAGCGGCCCCGCTGCCCGTGCGCTCCGCGCCCGCAGCAGCCTGCATGCCCCGCGCCGCGCCGCGCCCGGCCGCCGCCGCCTGCTCGCACCGCCGCTGCCGGGCGCCGGAGTAATATGCTCACTCGAGTGAAATCCGCCGTGGCCAATTTCATGGGCGGCATCATGGCTGGCAGCTCGGGCTCCGAGCACGGCGGCGGCGGCTGCGGAGGCTCGGACCTGCCCCTGCGCTTCCCCTACGGGCGGCCGGAGTTCCTCGGGCTGTCTCAGGACGAGGTGGAGTGCAGCGCGGACCACATCGCACGCCCCATCCTCATCCTCAAGGAGACTCGGCGGCTGCCCTGGGCCACCGGCTACGCAGAGTGAGTGCGGCGACACCGGCGGCGCCCCTGCTCTCCTCGCGGCCCTGCCCCGCACGGCTCCAGCCTGCCTTCCCTGCCTGTGGGCTGCGGGGCGCCCCACTGGCTGCCGGCGCGCAGGCCCGGCCGGGGACCCCTTTTCTTCCCTTTTCTCCTTCCCCCCAGCCCCAGGGCGCGGCGTCTCCAGCCCTGGTGGGGCGGAGGGGAGGGGACCTGCGCTGGACCGTGGGAACGCTGAGGTCGCACAGGTCTGTGAGCTCGGGGGCCGTGACACTGGGGGTGGAAAGTGGCAGAACGGCGCTAAGTTAAAACGTAGTAGGGAAATCTGCACTCCGTGCACTCACCCACCAAAATAATAACAATAATACCGTAATAATAATCATCATTCTCTGTGTGCCCTGGTTGGAGAGCCGGAGTGGTAGCTGCTTTGGGATCTGTCGCCACGCCTGGGGGCGGGCGTCTGAATCCCGGGGGTGCAGTGTGCGTGACTGCACATTTCGGAAGGGCTGTTTCTCCGACTTGCAGCCTGCGAGTTAGTTGGCTTCTGTTTAGCAGGTAGTAAAACGCTGAGCCTTCGACGTATGCCGACGCTGCTCCCACAGTCCTTGGGGAGGGTGGAAACTCACTTAGGGTGTCTTAATAAAGCGTTTTGGTAATCAGCTTTGGCGGTTAAATAAGCATTTGAGTGCTATTTTAAAAACCGTTTGAGTTAGGTTGGCGGCCTGGACTGGAACAGAGAAAGGAGGGAGGGAGGATTGTATTGCCCTTCCCCTTCTCAGGCTACTTCTCCATTGATTATTAACAACCCACCTCATGAATGGCAGGTAAGTTTTCCCCTATGACTTCCTACTTAAGCTTACAAAACTGGGAAACTAGGAAGGGAGAGCGTTGACCAGAATTCTTAGGTTCCGAAGGATCTTACAGGGTGAAAAGGTACGCGCTAAACCCTGGCGTTGGCACACCTGCCGCGTTTCCTTTAACCTCCTCATCTCCTTGGTTATCTTGGCCTGCCCCGCCCCTTGCGCGGCTTCGCACGCTGATTGGCTCATCCAAGGACCAATCAACTCGCCTTACGCCTGGGCGCCTTGCTGTTGACCCGGTTCTGTGGCCTTGATGCTCTCTGGCCGATGGGGTTCCAGCGCAGAGATTGGAATCTCTGATTCTGTTTTCCTTCCCGAGTCATTCTGTAACCATTCTCCCACCAGCTTGTGTGGAAGAAACCATAGACGACTGGAGGCAAAGAGCCAGAAGTGTGCCTTATGAGGTAGATGCTTAAAAGGAAATATTAACGTTTAATAACAAGAGCGTGGACGAGGACCAGGAGGGTGGAGAAGGAGCATAACCTCACGTTAGTTTGCAGGACAAAATTGAGAATTAAACTCCTGTGTAAGGAAAGACCTACAGGAGAACAAAATGCTTGCCAAAACACAGTAAGCCCCTGCCCTGCTTGAAATTTAGATTAAAAAAGAAAGAAAACAGCCCTGCATGGCCCCTTTGCAAGAAGCAAAGCCCCTCGGAAGCATAACCCTTGGATGACTGTGTAGGTGAGGGCCTTGGCGCTCGCCCAACACCGGAATGATGGGGGCTTCTAGTTACTGCAGTGGTTGGCAGGGCCAGGGTGCCTGTGTCAGGGCCTAAATGATGCACAGACAAATACTGAGAAAGTGATGAGCAGTAGGAAGGAAGGAAGGAAGGAAGGAAGGAAGGAAGGAAGGAAGGAAGAAAAATACTAAAACATTGAAAGTGGGTGCTGCTCTGGCCCAGGAAGAGAAAACCTCAACTAAGCGTGAGGAAACAAGGAAAAGCCAATTTCGGGATAGGTAGATGCCGGTGGTGGGCACGAGATGTTAAGGGCTGTAAAGAATATGAAGGAATGAAAAATGAAACAAGCAGAAGGGGTAGGGTAGAAACTCTACTTCAACCTTGCTCTGCCTCAGTTTCCTTATCTTTAAGAAGCTTTGTCTTTTCCTAGACAAGAACGTAACAAATTCGATTTGAAGGCTAGAGAATCCACTGCAAAATGCTTAATTTTTAAATTTAGTTTTAAAAATAGTCCGTGCGTGTTAATTCAAGGGAAGATCTGTGTAAAAATGACAGTTTGCTCCTCTTCTGAAACAGTTACTCTGAGAGGTAAAGTGTCCAGGTATTTACAGATTTCTTTGAACCTAACTATAAATACATATCATGGTTCATTTTTTTCTTCCTCAAGCAGGCACCTACTAAATATGGTACTCTGTAGCATTTACGCAGAACACTGAGTTGTGGGCATTATTCCACGTCTATACAAGTAGAATTACTTCCTTCTTTTAAAAGATACCCATAGTGTTAATAATAGCAAAAGTGGTTAATGTTTGATCTTTAATGCTTATTTTGTTTTCAAGCTCATGTTGTATCTCCGATTCTCACAGTAATTCCTAGGAAGCAGACATCATTTCCATTTTTCAGATAAGGACCCAGAGACACTGAATGGGTAATCAGTATACCCCCGGGTCATGTTGCCTTTACTGTAGCCTGTCTTTGAACTTAGGTGATTGTCCCCAGAGCCCATAATGACAAACTCCCTCTATACAATATCCAGTTATGATGCATCTATTTGAACTCAAGTGTAGCCACTAACATTGTCTTGCTACTTCTCTTCTTGTCAGATACTATTTTTCACCGCTTCCTCAAACCTTGAACTATGGTTTTTCTTCCTGCTAAGGTGCAACCTGAGTGATCAAAGTGACTGAAATAGGGAAGGAAAGGAAGTCCAGCAGGTGCTGCAGCTGTGATCAGATGGTGCCACCAGTAATGCTGCTCTTTCCCAGAGGATCTTACTGGGAGAAGGAATTCCTCTTCTGTTTGCTCTAGAACATGGGAATATTGCTGAGAGAGTATCTCCGAGAGACACTGTTACCTCTCAGAGATAAGAAAGGTGCTAGTGAGCCCAGGCCTTAATAGGAAGTGGTTTGTTTACCTCTGTAAAAAACTGATTCCAAGCCTTATTGGGAGAAAATGGCACCACTGTGTGACTTATTGGGAGATTGGAGAAAGAAGTGTTTAAGCTGTAGCGTTGACCAACACTTTATATATAGAAAAATTAAGGAGAAAAGTCTGTTGTTGCCACTCACTGTTAATTCAAGAAGAGATACCCTGTAAATTAGAATTAGCAAATCAGCAACATACAGTCCCCCTAAGTCTTGGGGAGCAGAAACTGAAGACCCTCATTCATTTCAGGGTTTATCAGCTTCGTGCTAGTGAAATTTCCTGGCTTTCAGAAGGCTTTCTGTTGTGGTTGAAAAGTTTCGCCACTTATAAAAGGAAATCTGCAAGGTTGTCAAGCTCTATAAAGCATTGCAGTTATGGACAATAGCCATGGAGCCTAAATTTTTCTAAAAGCATACATTGGCGAGTTTCATTTTTTAAATTTGGCTTTCAAGTCACGGAGTCTGTGAAGTCTTCTGAGAGACAGTGTAGGAAGCAGCAGTCTGATCCACGGGACACAGGACAGCTACTCACTTTCTCTGTCCACAGGCTGAGATACCACCCATGTGCCCTGGTGCTGCAGGGACAGGGAGGTCAGTTCATTTTTAGACTTTCTCTTCCTCGTAATGTTTGCTTACCTTTTCCCTTTAATAAGTAGTTGGACTTGATATACAGGAAGACATGAAATTTAAGCCTTAAACTTCAGTCAGACTCCAAAGAATGTATTAGTGCTTTGAGCCGCACCATTTTGTATATTAAACATCGTATTTAAGTTTTATCAGTGATACTTTTGTTTTGTTTTTTTTTTTTTTTTTTGGTAAGTGGTACTTTTCTGTGTTCAAAAAGAATTAACTGGCATAGTTTTATTTAAGTTATTACAATAACTATAAAGTTATTTTCCTTATTTAATAAAAATACAACTGGACTCTGGGTTTTAAAAAACTTCCTTGAGAGCTATAAGATTTTTGTGTATTACAGAATTAATTGTGTGTTTTTGTGTGTGTGTGATGGTGGTGTTGTTGGCAGGCATTGAACCTATGGTCTTCACAATGAGCTACATCCCTAGCTCTTTATTTGTGTGTTTATTTTATTTTGTTTTGTTTGTTTTGTTTGACTTTAAGTTTTTACTAAGCTTGAGTTACCAGGCTGGGCTCCAAATTGTGAGCCTCTTTGCATTAGCCTCTTAAAGTACTGCGATTACAGGCATGTGCAACCATGCCTGGCTAAAATTGTGAAATTTTGATGAAATAACTTATTTAAATCCAGCAACCAGTTTGCAAGTTTCTAAATTGTTCTTTTTCTTGAGTCACTGGCACTAGTTCCCATTACTAACTACAGCATTACTTGGCTGTGCAGTGATAATGACAGAGAAACCACTATTTCTCTCTCCCCAAAACTCAGAAATCCCCTGACCTATCTTTATCCCGTTCAGCTTCTTCTGGCACATCCACCCGCTTTACAACAGACAACTCTACAGAGCTTTTGCTTGGGAACTTCTCGTATTGTGCAACCTAAGAACCTCAAGGTTCTCCACTTACTGTTGTATAAAAATGAAAAAGGTCTGGGGAGAGTCGGAGCAGTGCTGTTCACAGCACTTACTTGTACATCTCAAAATTCTAAAGTAGCCTAAGATATTTCACTGACTTTCTACTAAGTTGTTCTGATTTTCTATTTTTTTTTTCTTCTGGCAGCTTACTTTAACTTTCTCTCTCTCCCTTTCTTTTTTTTTTTTTGTACCAAGGATCGAACTCACAACTTCCCATTTGCCAGGTAGGCTCTTATGCCACAGAGCTAATTTCTGATCCCTTAACTTTCTCCCTTTAAACAAGTAACAGCTTCCTGTACCTTTCAGACGTAACTTTAAGATGAAGTTGGCCTCTCTGAGTGGAGCTCCTGGCGTGCCCCTTTCCGTAGGAAGGTGCATTAGCTTCTTTCCAGGACTCCTGAAACACAGCCACGGGACTTAACCCTTCAGACAGGTGTGTTCAAGGTGTGCTTTTACCCTCCGTGTAACTAGACAACGTCATCTCTGATACTACCCCAGCACACAATGCTTTCTGTTTGTGGAAATACCATTTTTGTTCACAGCAACACCAATTGATTACTTAAATTTGCATATTGGAACAGTTTTCTAAGAATATATTAAACCATATATGGTGTCACACACTTCTATTCCCAGTAATCTGTGAGACTGAGGCAGGAAGATTACAAGTTTAAATCTAACTTGCACAACTTACTGACATAGTAAGACCTATCACATATAAGTGAATGAATGAATGAACGAATGAAAGATAAAACTTGAAAAGGGCTGCAGACTCAGTTCAACACTCAGTATCCCAGAACAAGCAAAAACATGCTATTGTTCAAGATTAGTTTTACTTTTTGATGTTTGCTAGCAATAAACAAATGTCTTTAGTTTTCTCTGATTTGCTTGAACAGATGATTATTAATTTTTGCTCTTGAATTTATATCCTCTTTCAAAAATAAGCATGACTCGTCTACTTCCATTATTTCTCTCATTAATTTGAGGAAAGCATTGTGCT